AAATAAAATTAATTTGAAACAAAAATAGAGATAATCTTTTCTTCATTCTTACAGCTATTCATTGTATATATAGTTTTTATTTTTAACTTAGCTTCTTTTTAAATTTCAGATTGCATCATTATTCACAGTACATGTTGTGGGGTACATTGATATATGCAAACTACGGAAGATCATTTATATACACATGGTAATGGTTTTTAAATTTGTTATTTTTCCCCATTGAGTTTGACCTTAAAACCAACTCCTGATTAGTATTTGATTTGTTTTTGGTTGAAACTGGTCGTAACATGATTCCATAATTAAAACAAATGTCATTCAAAAACTGTGATATAATTAACATAGGCCGCCCAGACAATTTTTATTTGGCTCGTGTTATCTCAGTGAGGCTGTGCTTGACTTACACGTTATCATTAGAAGAGAGCATTCATGAAAGAGAAAATGGAATGGCATATTATCCAGGAGCCTTCTGTTAGAATGACGTGGAATGTTTATATACTGAGCACCAACTGCCCAGGCATGTGGGACGTACCGGTGAGCACAGCTACACATGTCGATTGCATTCTAGACAGAGGACAATGATAACTACAGTAAGTGGGTAAACAGTACGGTATGTTGGAAGGCCATAGGACTATAGAGAAAAAGGAAAGAAAGAGTCATGGTACCCCTGGGAGATGAGCAGTGCCAGCGCTGGGGGGAGGTTGAGGTGTCAAATGCGGCTGTCTGGGCAGGTCTCACGGAGGCGGGGAGTGGAGCAGCGACTGGAAGGAGGGAGCGAGTTAGCTAAGTAGGTATCACGGTGAAGGTGAAGAAGATTCTAAGTTGGTGGAACAGCTAGAGCAAAGGTCCTAAGGCTGGATGGTTAATTTTGATGAGGGCTTATGCTTTAAAAGCATTTTGTCTTCTCTTTCTCATTAGTTCTTATAATTTTGATGCTTTTTCCCCCTATAATTTTAATGTTATTATGATATGCCAGTATAATTTTTCATCCTCTAATAATTGATACATATAAAAGGACATTTATAATATATAGGGAAGTTAGGAACAAAGTTATAAAATGAACACCATGAACTTTCCCTCCAGCTGAAACACGGGACTGTCGTTACTTTGAACAAGCCCCTGGGTGCCCTGAACACATCCCCTTACGTCTCCTAGCGAGAGCCCCTGTCCTGGCTTTTTAAATTATAATTCACTTGCTTTTCTTTGTGACTTTGCCATGTGTTCCTAAATAGTATATTTTTATTATTAAATATTAGTCCTCTTTTTAGGGTTTGTAAAAATGGTATCCTTTTATGAGACTTACGGTTTTACTCAGGTTTCTGAGATTTGTATATAACTAGAGTTTAGATGTTTTCTTTGCTTTATATTTCCATTGTATAAATAAAGCACAGTTTATCTGTTTTCTTGTTGAAACGCATTTAGATCTTTTCTTATTTTTGTTTCTTTTATGGATAATGCTGTGCATTCTTACACATACCCCGGGGGTGTATGCATTAAGTTTCTCTAGGATGTTTGCCTGGTAGACTTTCTGGGTGGTAAATTATACACGTGTTCAATTTCACCATTTAATACTGCAGCATTTTTCAAAAGTGATTAGACTACTTCAAATAGTAATGTATAACAGTTCATGTTTTTCTATATTCTTTTATATTTTGTCACTCTGGTAAGTATACAATGGTACCTTATGGTCTGAATTTGTATTTTCTCTCACTCAATAAAGCTGAACATCTTTTGGTTTGTTTATGGACTCTGTATTTCCTTTCTCTGTGACATTCCTATTTATATCTTTTACCAATTTTTCTCTTATGCCCAAGAGAAAATGGCATCTGTTTTATGCACTGCAGAATAACCCACTTTTTTCATTATTTATTTTTATGCTTGAATTGGTCCTGATTTGGTCCCTGTTTACAAATTCCTATAGTTACATAAAGGAAAAAAAATACATAGAATTGTCTCCAAACAAGATTTCCCCCCACTTTTTTATCATGGTAAACTTCATAACATAAAATTTACCACCCTAATCCTTTTAAGTGTACATTACATATCAGTGGTATTAAGAACATTCATATTGTTGAGTAACCATCACCACCATCTGTCTCCATAACTCTTTTCATCTTGTGAAATTGAAACACCATNCAGCACGGCCCCGCCTTCACTTGCTCCTCTATGTTTGTCACCTACCTGTGCAGGACCCGGCTCTTCTCCCACATCCTCCACAGACCCCCCTCAGCTGCTCCGCCCAGATTCTGAGTTCTTGCAGCACCTCTCTGCCCAGCCCTTAGCACTTAGAATGTGCTGGCCGGTGATGTCTTTTCATTAACATCCTCTGTCTCCAGATGAGTCTGTTGAATGGAGCGTTAAATGTGTTTGATTATGAATTCACCAAATTGTAGTTTGAAAAAATTCAGTGGATATGCTAACCCAGATGCCCTCCCTCTCTTAGTCTGGCTTTGTTGGTTTCATGGAAAATTGTTGTAATTGAGTGTCAGAAGGTGTTGTTTCTGACCCACTGGTTCCCTTTACGCCTGGTTTATGTCGTAACCACATTATGTTTAGAGATTCTAAGTTGCAGCAGTTTGGAGCCATGCTAGAATATGTGGTGCTTAAACTAATTCACTGGTCTTTATTTGTCTTCTCAAGGGCTACAAAACTTTACAGAGGAAGCCTCATCGCACTCTGCGCTTCCAATGTGTTTTTCATGCTTCCCTGGCAGTTTGCGCAGTTTGTGCTTCTTACTCAGGTAAGGGGCTTTGGTATATTTCAACTTTATTAAGTTTCGTGTGTTTAATTATGTGAACTCATTTGTACAAAGTTATAGAGCTGACAGGTTATATGATTCTGAGTCCTAAAATTTTTTTAAAATTAATACTTTTAAATAAAGTTCAGGGTAGGGAAATATGTAAAATTTATTTATTAATGGGTATTAATGATTTATATACTAGTACAATGCGTTTATGAACTCACTTTTATAAGAATGCTTTTATTTTTGTTATTCGATATTTGTTAGTGTGCTTGAAGAGGACTGGTAAGTCCTTAAGTAAAGTGTATTTCGTTTATGAATGATGCTGTACGTTCTTACGCCTAGGAAAACTACACATAGGACAACAGGATAAATAGCGGAACAGTTCAGACGTTATGTAACTCCCCTCCAGTCTGTAGTCGATGTGTCCGTCTTCCGTGCACTCTTGTCTCCCCTTCTCTTCAGAGGTGAAGCCAGGTGAAGCCAGCTTGTTGAGAGAGGGAGCAGACTGCCTCTCCCTGCCCTCCCCACTGCTTGTACTTCTTAATATGCTGGCCATATTCATATTCACATTCAGCAGTTGAAGAGCTGCTTTTCAATGTTCTTTGAGAAGTCTTGCCTGAGAAATGAAGTCAGAGCTGGATGTGAATCCTAACTATTCACTAGTTTCTTGACTTGGACAAACCGCTTAACTTTTCTTAGTTTCAGTTTCCTCGTTTGTGAAGTATAGAAATTTAAGAACCTACTTTATTGGTCGTGGTTAGGATCGGATGAGGTAATGTATAGAAGACGCTTAACACGTTACCTGGTACTTAACAAAATGTCAGGAGGGGAGCTGGGTGAATAAGGTGAAGGGATTGAGAAGTACAAATTGGTAGTTACAAAATTACAAAATGGTCATGGAGACGTAAAGTACAGCATAGGGNCTATTAAGACACACACCTCCCTGTCTTCTGGGAACTAAGTGAGCCTTTTCTCAGTGCCATCTGGATTTCCCATCCCTGCTCCATCAACATCCTGGTTGGTAGAAGCCTCACATTGTCTACCAGGGAAGCCCAGTGCCCAGCATGTATCAGAATTCCAGACTCCCGGAAGGAATGTCGGTGTTCAGCATAAAGCACACTGTTCGTGCAGGAGGGACCGTGAGCCACTACTGTCATTTAGGGTGGCGGGCGCCTTCCAAAACCCAAGCTCCAGGACGCCAGCTGAGGGCCAGCCTTGTAGGCTGACCTACTCTGTGAACTCTGATGTGAACATCAGGTGTGTCCCACCTTTCCCCACCTGCCACCCCTTCTTGGAGCTTCCATAAATGTGGGCACCACCACCTCCCCGTTGGTGGTAGATTCGGCCGTAGATTCGTGGAGCGCTTGGGCTCTCGGGGCCACCAGCACGTGTGTGCAGCTTTCCAGTCCACCAGGGATGTGAGAACTTACCTACCCCTCATTGGTTGTCTCATTTCCAGAATCTCAACATTTCTAGCTAGTCTGCCAGTCTGCTGTTCACTGCACCGGCATTGCAACCTTAGGCTGGCAGAGCTGTGAGCTTTCGCCTGGCATTTCCTAACTGAGTTTGCTACTTTTACTGATAATGCCCCTGAGCACAGATGTTTTTGCTCTCTGCTCCCAAACACGTCAGCTTCCTCCAGTAGCAAATGTTCTGCCTTTCCTGGCCAGCGCCGCCCTGGGAAAACTGCGTCTGCCGAGTTGTGGAGGTGGTGGTGCTGCTGATGGTGGTGGCCTGGGCAAGACCCCCAGATTCCTGCCCAGAGGGTGTCAGTACTTTTTAAGAATGAATGCATCTCAAATTGTTTTACTTTCGGTCAATTTCTAGAACGTGATATGATTGTTTTTGACAGTTTTGTCCAATTTTATACTTGTTAGTGGGGAGGGTATTTGCCACTTTCTTCCTCTGCCATACCTGAAAACCCCCATACTCACTGATTTTTGAGTATTGATTTCACCTATATTTCTTAGATAACCATCACTTGCTCATGATGTTACTATTCTTTCTATATATTATTGGATTGGTTGGCTACTGTTTTTAAGGATTTTTGATCCCTATATTCATGAGGGATACTGATCTGTAGTTTTATTTTCTTGTAATATTTTTGTCAGTTTTGGTTTGAAGGTAATATTAACATCCTAAAATTAGTGGGAAGCATTCAAGCTCATATTTCCAAAGAGAATTTGTGCAGAATTGGCATTATTTCTTCCTTAAATGTTTGGTGGAATTCGACAGTGAAACCCTCAAGGCCTGGAGTTTTCTTTATGGGAGGATTTTCAACTATGAATCCACTTTCTTTAGGAAGCTCTTGGTAGTTTATGTCTTTGGAGGACACTTACGTATTTCATAAGTGTCATCAAATGGATCGTGTTTCTTTTTTTTTTAATTGTAGAATTCAGTTAGTGAAAATTCTTATTGAAATTTTTACATATATGTGAAATGGTCTTGTATGTTTTTATTTAAATTTCCTCATATGGATTTGGAATTAATATTATATTAGTCTCCTATAAAGAGCTGTTTTTGTTTTCTGTTTTCCTACTTTCTGTTAATTGTATTAATATTTTCAAAGAACCACCTTTTTATAAGTCCATTTTGGTTTTGTTGTATTTCTGTTTGTCACCAAATCCTGTCGTCCTCATTTCCTTCCTTCTCTTTTCTTGAAGCTTTTTCTGGAGCTTTTTCTGGTGCTTGAGTGAAAGTGCTTGGCTCTTTTGTTTTCAGCCTTTTATTTTCTGATAAATGCATTGAAATCTATAAATTTCCCTATAAGTAGTACTTTTTTGTGTCTTACAAATTAACTATTTTATGATTTTCTCTTTAANTGACGTGAGTGTAACTTAGTCATAGGAATGAGCAGTGAGCATGCGGAGACGCTGTGTTTTCAACAATGGCAAAAGTAATCGCTAACTGAGTGGCTGTGCTTTGAGATTTCTGATAGTTCTTACAGGCCCTGAATTCCATTTATAATTAGGAAAGGTGAAGAGGCACTCAGGTCTCTAGTTTATGTGTGTACACAGGCAACCTGCTATTACACAGGTTAAAGTACACGGCTGTTGGGACCCTGTGCAGGGAAGCCATTGAATGGAAGATCACGTGCGGTAAAATATAATCTAAGCACATTTTGCAGGGTATTTCTCCTCCTTTAGTTGTGCACCTACAGTGTATCAGGTTTCCTACTAGATACACCTACGAGGTGAATCTTAGATATGAATTTTGCATTTCATATATATTTCATATATTTTGGTATATAAAAATAAATGATGCCAACAGTTACAGAATATAGCATGTTTTTGCATTTTTAACTAAACAAACATTTGCCTATTTTGATACATAGTTATCACTTTGAAACCTGAATCTTATCACATTTTGTGTTTCCAGCTATTCAGAAACTTCCGGAAAGACTTAATGTGGGATCATATATTTATGTTTTGATCTTTAACCATATTTTTGCCAACTTTGAAGTAGATTTAGATCCCTATAGGTACTGTATTTTGGGAGTCTACTTACCATAAGATTTGAGAGAGGAGAACTATTTAGTTGATCCATTAAAAACTCATTTGTAGTCTATTCTAAGAGTTAATATTTAACTTAAGGAGAACTCATAAAATTCTGAAATTATTTTATACTTCTTGGTTCTTAGGTAAATCAGAGAAGTGTAAAATCAGCCATAAAAATTTATATATGGTGATTCTGTTTTAAACTTTACAAAGTCACTAACTGACCTAATCTATTTCAGTTAAAGTGAGGCTATTTCTTGAAGTCACTGAACTTGTGGTGATCGTGTGGTGAACTTTGTGGACCATCGACAATGTACTGAATTTTAGTTTCTTGAGAGTCTTATTATTTAGAAGTACTTTTTGATACTTGAATTTATGTCTATAAGTAGTAACTATATGCTATGTTATTTTTCTCCATGCAGGGTATACTGGCAATGAAACCACATTTCTTGAAAATAAATGTATCTGAACTTAGTTTATGGGTAAGAATCAATCTATTTGAATGCATACGTTTTTCCTTCTCTAAAATATGTTATTGGTTTCATGTTTTACTTTGAAAGAAATGATCTATGGAATGCAGGGCATTTAACAGTTTTATAACATATTAGGGCTCAGTTTTAATGTGCCAAATTGCCCTTTCATGAAGCAAGTTAAGGTTAATATTTGATAGATAGTTAAAGAATTCCACTTTTATTTATTTTCCATGCTTTTTTCCCTAAGGAGCTGTGCATGTGTAAGAAACTGTTAGTAGAAGGGGATTTTAACTAATTGCTTTATAAATCTTTTATAAGATATATTAATTTTGATAATAAGATTATGTGTTTATATTTTTGTTTTTAGTGATACTCCCTTGATTTTGGAGTAACTATTTATTTTAACTTAGGTGCAGTTTTTAGCATCTTTTTCTTGGGTATGGAGATTTATTTCAAGTGCGATTAAAGTATTTATTTTTTTATTCCTAGACTATGTCTGTGGAATGGATATATGAAACATCAATTTATTTATTTTTTGTTGTATTTTTCTTTTGTAGGTTATCCAGGGATGTTTTTGGTTATTTGGAACTGTCGTACTCAAGTACTTGACATCTAAAATCTTTGGCATTGCAGATGATGTAAGTGCATTTTGTTTAAACTGGAAAGACTTGAAAAGAATCAAACAGGCTATAAACGAATTACTTGAGTTATTAAAATACTACTACTAGGGC